AGCGAAACACGTCGATTTGATGAGTGTCCCAAATTAAATAATAACAGTTTCTAAAAATCAATACTTCGAGAAAATACGATGGAAAACTGAGAAAAACTTGTGGCATATAAAATGAATGGTACCTTCCGAGTGACCCCCAGCTCTACCTTGTCAGAATGGTGCCTTGAAAAAATTTAATAATAACAAGCTGATTTTTGTTTTGGGGCTTTTTTATAAAAAATGAATCGGCATACAAATTTGTTGGTAATTTTTTGAGACCTACACTCGAAAGTTGTCAAGATTATGTTAATCTTTTTTTGATTAATAACCGTATGCCACGAAAAATTTATGATTATTTACTTAATTCTTAATCTAAATATAACAGTGACCTACAAAAAAAAAATGGTATTTTTTTAGTTAACCTACAAAAACAATCGAATCATTTAATATGTGCTCCGTACTTATGTCTTGTAACCACTGGCTACATTTTATTATTAAAATAAAAGCTTGTATTTTGAGTGTATTATCAGAACTTTGCATGAAAAAAATTAAACTTATAAATAATTTAATGATAAATATTTAAAAAAATCAATCAATCCTCATCAGATTCGTCACTCGATGACTGTTCACTATGTGTGATGTTATCGTCATCTTCAGAATTATCGGTATCATACTGTTCAGATTCTATAATAAAAGAAGTAACATTATATAAATAAGAATCGTTAAATTAGAAATAAGAATTTTAAAAATTATAAATACAATACTTCTGTTGAAGACGGTTGATCGAGCGATGGACTTTGTGATCCGTCAAACCAATAATAATGATAATTATTATTAATTAATATCCATCCATAATCTAATATGGATGGATATTAATCGTTAATATAATAAAACAAAGATATTACTTTTAATTCGATTACAAATTACAGATTCAAATTATAAATAAATTAAAAAACTGTAATTTATATTAATTTTTAAGTACCTAAACGAGTTATAAATACGCATTTTTCGAACTTAGAACAATTTTTTTTTATAGACGATAACTGATTTTCATGGACGTATTAATAAGGCGGACTGAATCTCGCTATACAACTCAGCGAGGCACCCATAATAAGTCAGCTCGCGTGTACGTACAAGGGATCACGCACACATTCACACTTAAGTCTAGCAGCCGCCATTACGCAACAAACGTTGTCCGAGAAAAGTAGTTTGCGTAAGTAAAAACAAAAATCAATATGCTGTCTTGCGTCGTTAAATTTAGTAAATATCATAATGGTTTTATCAAAAAACATCAAGGAATACCTTTCATAGCTGAGTCAGTAATTATAATCACTTATTTGAGAATTTTGTCTTAAACTAAAATGCTATTTTTGGAACATAAAACATGAGTCACGTGATCAGTGTTGTTAATTATATTTATAGGGAAAATTACCCGAAATTTGGGAAATTACTATTTTTACCAACGTTGGCACGGATACGGTATATATGTTTGCCCAACAACCTCTTAAGGTTGCTTTTATGTGCACTTTTTTGTTACAATTTTCCTGAAAAATTACTCGATCGATTATAATGCGGTTTTATGCATTTTTTAGTAAGTTATTAATAGGATATCTGGCGGGTAGCATTGCTCATTATGCAACAAAAAAAAATTAAATTTAAAGGCATTTTTTTCATAAATTAATAAATTTGAAAACTTTAGGAGGTTTACGTTTTCCATCTAACAATTTATTTAATATTTGTTGTACTTGCGAAATGGTTGTACGAAAGATTATTAAGGAAAACATTACAATGTACAATGGAACGCAACAAAAGTATATACTTACAAAAATATTAGAAAAGTTTATTGCCAATGGCAGGGTTTTTGTAAGCTTGGAATTTGAGCACACATTTGCAGGGATAAGATAAGAGTTATTAAATATAGAGCAGAAAAATATTTGGCGATTTGATTTCATCATATTTCTAAATTAGAGGGGATTTCAAGAACCTTCGAAAGTAAAAGACATGTGTTTAGAAAAATTATTCAACAAAAAGGTTTTTAACGTTGTTGTTTGTCATAAAAATGATAAATTACGGTAATTATTTATGACTTATTGCCATAAATAATAACAGTAGTGGTGCTGGGATTAGTGGTGACGGGGATAGTGCACGCAATTGAGGGAGGGCGGGAGGTGCTCTTCAAACTAGGTAAGATACACCATTTTATTTTATCGAGCGGATGTACGCGAGGTAATTTTTTACCAAATTTAATATGATGGATTTCCGCAAAGTAACGCCGGATTCTATTAATTATCATAAATAATAAATATAATTTACAATTGTAGAAAATTTAAATAAATAAATATATTAACTTTGGCCTGTCAGTATATTTACGGAAATTTAATGTATGTATTTGTATTTAGTGATGTATATTCTGTAAATACTAGGAAGAAGCACAAGTTAGTTATACCAGTTAATCGACTCAAAAGAATCAGTAATTCCTTCATGTATACGCTTTCACAACAAAGTCCCAGAAAATATGCAGGCCTTATCTATCATAGTTTAAAATTTTTTGCAAGCAAAATTGTTTAGGTAACGATTATTAGGGTATACTACTAAAGAGTACATGATTGATAATAACTCCTGATATGGTCACCTAATGAGGTGATTGCTACCATGCTGTTTCTAAATGTTTTCATACTAATTCTAAAATAATATATTTGAAATTAATTTTATATTAAATTTTTTGGTTACCTATAATATGTTTATTTGTTATATATTTCGTTAAAAATATTTATAATATATTTCGGTCCAATAATATAATAAAATTTTTGTATAATATAATGCTTGCAATAAAATTAATTTAAATGGAAATTGATTGAAAGAGAATAATTTGATTTCAATCAAAATCTAAATCTTAAATTTTTAGATCTTTTTTAATAGTCCAATGTGTTATTTTTATTAGTTACGTAATAATAAATTAGTATTTCGTCAAAGTTGTGTTATATTTTGACAGATTGTTTTATAAAATAAAAATGGGGAAATTTTGTTTCACATGACAACCCTATATAACACGCAAACATACTTGCACCGCCGCCATTACAGTGCATCAGTCCTTTCTTAACAAAATTCTGTCCGCCTTACTTATACGTCCATGCTGATTTTACAATTTAATTAATTAAAATAAATAAGTAGTTCAATAGCTCAATCACTCGTTACTAGAAATTTCAACAAATTTTCATGCATTGCCTTGTTTTTATTGCTGTAATAGTTTATATAATTAAGTAATTTAAAAAATAATATTCATTTTCATTAAATAAGCTGTAATATTGTATACGAATTTTCCATTTAAGCAATTTCAAACAAAAGCTGGCGAAAATTATGTACAACACTTCAACATGTTATGTTTTCAAGATTTAATTTGTTTTAAAATTTCGAAAAGTTCATTTGTAATTAATCGCTTCCATTTTTTTGTATGCCAATAGTTTCATGGTGTTATACGTTTGATTCTTAACAGAAAAAAATAAAAAAGAAGTTGTTATTAATCAAAAAAGATTAGCATAATCTTGACAACTTTAGAGTGTGTAGGTTTCAAACAAATTACCAACAAATTTGTATGTCGATGCATTTTTTATAAAAAAGCCCCAAGACAAAAATCAGCTTGTTATTATTAAATTTTTTCAAGGCACCATTCTGACAAGGTAGAGCTGGGGGTCACTCGGAAGGTACCATTCATTTTGTATGCCACAAGTTTTTCTCAGTTTTCCATCGTATTTTCTCGAAGTATTGATTTTAAGAAACTGTTATTATTTAATTTGGGACACTCATCAAATCGACGTGTTTCGCTCCCTATCGCGCTTTTTCCTCCCACTATCAGAATTTGGTCCAATGATAAAAGTTGGGTGTCTCGTCAAAACGAAGCTGTGTATAAACTTTCAGCCTGTTATTAATCACTGAAATCCCTTATATGTGGGCCCGTGGACTATAATGATTTATTTCAGAAATATTGTGAATCACTTTTTTCAGCAGTGTTTCCATATATAATATCTTCCATAAAGAACATCTTTATCAGAGTTTGTTAAAAATGGACGAAATGAATGTATCACCGCCTCACAACCACATAGTGTCTAAATAGCTTTATTTAATAGATTGTAATTTTAAAATCAAAACAGTTTAGTTTTTTTTTTATAGGATAAGGGTGACAAACGAGCACACAGTCCACCTGATGTTAAGTGGTTGCTGCGGCCCATAGACATCTACATCTATCCTCTGTTACAAATCAAAATGTAGAAGCGTTGTCACCCGTGAGGACTAAGATGGAATGCCTCATTTCCAGTAAAAAGGGCCTCCGGCCACCTGCACTCACCAAGCGAAACGCAGAGGTAAACCTCTACTTCACGCTGGTTTTCTGTGAGGTCGTGGTACTACCCCGGTTGGAGCCGGCCCATCCGTGCGACAGCAAAAGCTGCCGCGTGGCTCTGCCACTGTTAAAATTTTTTTTTTTAACATTAAATTAAATAGTTTATCTTTAGACAATTTAATTTAATGTTAAATTTAATCTTAACTTTAAATGTTAAAGTTTAAGTTAAAGTAAAGTTTATTCGCTGTTCATAAGTAATATTATATTGGGTGTAAAAGACAAATTGTATAGCCATGTCGTGACCGGGTTAAAGAATCCACGACCCCATAGCATCCCGTAGGTGTCATAAGAACTAACAGAAAGACACAAAACAGGATGAGGAAACAGAGGGAAATAAGCAACAGCAATACAAAACTACAAAACAAACAATACAAAAACTGAGGTTGCCTCTTTGATTGTTGAACTCTATGGGAGGCCGACGTTCAGTTGTGAACTTTTGCCAGGTTATAATGAATGAATAATAGAAAATATGCGACCATCTGCGTAAGTTCGCTTACTGTGAAGACAAATCTATGTCCAACAGTGTACTGCTACAGACTGATGATGATGATGATGACATAAGACTGACGCTTCAAAAGTTTTCAATCGATGGTTGCTATAGTTTTCAAATCATTTGAATACTTACTGTAGCATATCGATCTCCGTTTCTTTAACACTTTGCCAGAATCGCTTTCATACACAGTGCACTGATTACCAAGAGAACAGTTCACATCTATGCATTCGTTGAGACAACAATTGTCGCAGTTCGTGTTTATTTTTTCTTCTATTAAACTGTTTAGTGAATCACTAGCACTATCTTTTGTGGAGTCACTATCCACACAATTTGTTGAATTTGTTCTTGACGATCTTCCGCTGTTTATGGATACTGTCGGTGTGACATTCTCTGGAGACATCTTGGATTCGTTCCTGGAAGTAAAAACATATGTTAAATCTTCTGTGACCTTAAAACGCTTTATTAAACTATAAAAATAGTAATAGAAATTCCTTGACTAATAAAAAAACTTAAGCCGTACTGTAGTGGGGTAAGAGAATTCACTAACCCATATCATCCCGTGGATGTTGGATGGTGGAAATATAATAGGACGTTGGCAGAAGCATATTCCTAATGATAACTAAATTTAAAAAAAACTTAATTAATTATTCCCCTTCTTCTATGTGGTAATCTACGGGGGAAGAAGAGTGGTGGGGAAGCCTTGTTAGACAGTGAACTTTTGATAGGCTGTAATCTATACAAATAAATAAAATTGAAGTGTCTGTTTGTAAAGTTTTTTTTTATTTTTTCTAAAATATATAACACCTAGCGATCCACCCCGACTTCGCACGGGTGATTTCTGGAACACGACAACAGCGCCATCTACCGAGCCCAAATGATAAATCTAAACCATCTATGGACCTATTGCAACACAAAAAATTTCATCAAAATCTGTCGAGCCGTTTTTGAGTTTTAGCGAGACTAACGGACAGCAATTCCATTTTTATATATAGATATACTTTTAAGCAGTTGGCAGCGTAAAGAGACCTCATCGCCACTTTTAAACCCTTTGGTATCATAAGAGGCAATTATGCTCAATGTCCATCGACCTGAGATCTCCAGATGCCGGAATGATCACGTAGTTTCCGATAAAAGGTAGTATAACCAAATCATTTATGGTAGGCATAAAATACCCAGACCGGTGACGAGGAGTAGGATAGGAATGGCGAGACATTTGTTATCGGTACGACTATTATTAATCCTGTAAAGCGTAACGATTGAATGAATTCCTCGCTATAACGGGAGAAATCCATGTCCAAAAGGACTTTTATGAACGAATGAAAAACATAAATCTATACAAATCTATACATCTACTATACAAATAAATAAAATTGAAGTGTCTGTTTGTAATGTCAAAAATTTTTTTATAGGAGAGGGGGCAAACGAGCATGCACACCTGATGGTAAGTGACTACCGCCGCCCATGAACAACTGCAACACCAGGGGAACCAGGGGAATCGCAGATGCGTTGCCGGCCTTTTAAAAAGCAGTAGGCTCTTTCCTTGAAGGTCCCTAAGTCGTATCAGTCCGGAAAAATCGCTGATGGTAATCGATTCCACAAGGAAGTCGTGCGAGGAAGAAAACATCTTTTAAATCGCACAGTGGTGGACCGCCAATCATCCAGATGGTGTGGATGGTATCGGGAGTTCTGCCGCGATGTGCGTTCGTGAAATTTGGCGGCTGGGATTAATCCGAACAATTCCTCAGAGCACTCCCCGTGGTAAATGCGGAAGAAAATACAAAGGGATGCAACATCTCTGTTCGCAGTGCCAATGAATCGAGCCGATCGCAATGTACTCGGTCAAGTGGAAGGAGCTGGCACTGGGGAGCCCCTGCCCAGAGATGGGAACAGTATTCCATGTGAGGCGGAACCTGCGCCTTGTAAAGTTGCAGACGGTGTGCCGGCATGAAATACTGTCCCGCTCTGCTGAGCACGCCAAGCTTTTTAAAGGCCAATTTGGCCTTCTCTTCCAAGTGACCACGAAACTGCACGTTACTCGATATGTTGACTCCGAGGATTCCGATACTGGCTGAGGCAAGAAGGGGAGTGCCTTGAAACTGAGGAGATACGATAAAGGGGTTCTTTTTAGCGGTAAACACGCAATCTTGCAAAATAACAGCTTTTTACCAAATGCATATGAAAAACAACATTTTTTTTTAATTTTTATCTGTCTGCCTGTCGGTCTGTCTGTATATCTGTGTGTTTATTCCTCCAAAACGGCTGTATCGATTTTGACGGGACTTCCTCCTTATAACTAATGTTATAAGGAGTAACTTTGGCTACTTTAGAAAAAATTAGTGTACCACGCAAAAAAAATTACAACCCATGAAATTCAATCGTAATAAATTCCACGTGGGCGAAGTCACGGGAAACAGCTAGTATACAATATTAAAAACTATAATAAAGAAAAACTAAAATTAAAACTAAAAACGTTAATTATCATACAGTCCTACTCCACTTGATATCGTTCCAAGAACGCTGCCTCCATTTCTATATTATATAGTTGAATTGCTATACTAAGCCTTTGAGCGAAAAAAGAACCAGCCTTCTTATCACCAGCACTGACGACCAATCGCGGATACATTTTCTTTAGGAACTTCACCGCACGTGGACCCCACGGATCGATAGTCTATACAACAAATCTTACAAACATATAGGTAGTCATCTCTCAGAAACTCATATCTGCGCCAATTACTCGGTACAACTGCCTCTGATGCCGCCTCGGCTCTAAACGAGGTACGCCTGAGATGAGAGGCTGCCAAAGTGTCTACGCAAGTAGCATCCCATACAGAATATCGATTAAAATATTTAAGAATGCGTAATATACTCGTAACTTTTATATTAACGCTGTCAAAAATCCTGAGTAAATTCGTTATGAAACTCATAGACCGGACTAACTGGAAAAGGTAGAACAACGCTAAACCGAACAAGTTATTAGTTATTTAAAGTGATAAAACGAATCCAATTTGCATAACATCGTTGATTTACAACAGTTAAATAATCGTACGCATATTATTATATTATCATACTACACTTGGCACATTATAAATCGCTAATTCTTTTAGTATATTTTAATACATTATTAACGAGTTAACATTCGGAATATTCATATGATATTAAAATAAGAGGGAGCATCTAAATAATCACAGACAATTTTTCATCATTTCTCAAAATAATTTTTATAGAATAAGGCGGAAGAGATTAGGCTCGATTCTGAAGGTCGACAGGTCATATCGATCTGTAATAGCCGATAGCAATAGCAGATTCAATATTTCAAGATTTAATTTCAAACATTATCGTAATATATGAAAGAGGAACTTAATATATGATAGAGGAATTTTCCCAAGCCTAGCGGAGCAAGGCTGCTCCCCGATGTAATTAAATAAAGGAATTGGTACTGGAGAGCTCCGGTGCTATATAGATAAGAGCAATATTCCATCCGAGATGGGCTGGCACAAATTACTGTCCCATTCTACCAAAATGGCAAGCATTTTAAAGAGTAAATTTATTATTTCCTTGTTGATCGGACTGAACCTTCAAAATAATAACATGCGACAGCAAATTTATTTAGCGGTCCAAGCGCAAACCTTGGTTTGTCGCATCCAATGCAAGGACACGCTTAACGAAGACTGGACTTCAGATCCAAGTTTTTTACGTTTTACAGAGAAATTTTAGCACAATTAAACATCGAGTCACCATTCACAAGTACGGCAATCTGCATATCAATGAATACAGGGGATTGGACCCTGACTTGTGTAACACATGTGTCATCGTCGTCGACCTTGTCGCTCTAAATTGCAAGAAAACTGGTCACCCAACTGCATAATCTAAAAGACACTCAATTTACCATGAAATGTTATAAATACATAATAACCCCTAATTTACTTAATGTGACATGTTAAATGTAATGTGTTGATCACATTTTACACAAAATATTTTAAATGGAGAATTCAGAACGACGTAGCAAAACCCTTTTTTAATTCCAGAAATCTCTATAACAATACAATTATACTGTTCTAGAACTTTTCTCACCCCATGTTAGAAAACATTAGGGGGATAAGGATTTGACAAAAGCGAGAATTCTCTCGAGAGGTTACTGATTCCAACTTGTTACCTACCTTGGTCCACATACAAGTAAAGATGGCAGAATATTTTACTTACATACAAAATACATATGTTAGTCTTGGATGGTCCTTGATCTGATTACTCAAATTGCATTAAAAACATAAATAAACATTAATTCAAGAAATGGAAATAAGGACTACAATTTTTATTAAAGGAATCGCACTTTCAGATCATCTGCGTCAAGAACAAAATTAAATATAAAAGTAATACATATAAAAATATTATTCTATACGCATGAGATATTGTGGTATCATGCCGTCCGGCGGCAGCTTAAATGAAGCTATCATCCCATTTCGTCTAACTCGCTTTCATCTAGTGGGTGTCGCAAGGGGCAATTTGTCTGCCTCCTTGATTTATTCGAAGTAAATGCAACTGCTGATCATGTAATTTCGGGTTCGGATCCGGGGTCAGGCAAAAATCAGTTATAGGGTTTTTCTGTGAAAAAATTCTCACCGTTGTGCCTCGAAAAGCACGTCAAACCGTTAGACATGTGCCTAATCTCTCTCAATCGTGTCAGATTGCCTCCCATCGCACTACGAGAGAGTGGGAATCTAGTGCACCTGTGCTTGCACATACATTGGCATTATAATCCTGTCCTGCGCAGATGGCTAGTCTCCGTTGAGACTGGTCACCATGACCGACTTTCGGATTGAAGGGCATTATGATCTTAAGTAAAAGATACTAATTAAGTTCAGTCTGGGACTTTTCTCGCCCAGATCTTAAAGGTCTTAAGATCTTTACAGGCAGCTATGTCAGAAAATCAAAATGACCCCATGACCTTATTGCTGTGCAACTCGCTTTATCCTTAAGCTTGCAGGGCGTTATCAATCAACACTGAAAAGTTACAGCATCTGATAAAAGATTCTGTGTCGTATAAACATAAGCAACTCCATACAAAATGCTCAGCTAGTATAGAAACTGACTTTTGTCGGGTCAAACATTGGATAAGCGAGAACGGTCTCTAATCAACATGAATTTACAGTAGTACTACCATAGTTTCTCTCTTTGAACTAAGGTACTACATAATAACATGTTGATTACTGCTATATTCAGTTGATTATCTATAGTATCTGTAAGTTGTCGACGCTGTTATAATTGGTAAGGAAACGCCATTGACCTCTTTTTTTGTAAAAGAGTTGATTCTCCTATCATATATTTTATTCAGCAGCCTCAAGAGAAGCCAGTCGACCAAACTGGTTCGTAATTTTTGTTACTCAGCACGTCCGTCAGTGGCGC